ACACACACACGAGCGTCTCCTCCCCGTGGAGCTGCAGCAGTGATTTAGTGAGGCCTGTTGACTGTGGACACTCTCCAAATCACACACACCCATCCAGACACAGCTAATATTCACAATATTTGTTATTCACAATCACGGCAGTAAAACAACCACAAGAATCTGAGACGATCGGGACACTAAACCATTATTTTCAACACCCTAAACAGATGACCATCTTTCAACATTAAGATGCCAAACCATATTCGGGAAAAATATCTTGCGAGGTTTACATTTGCTGCAATCGGCCGGGTCGTTATTTGTCCATTTTGAGATCATTTGCTGATAGCTGCATCTTACTGACCAACATCAGTGCATCATTCTGCTCCAAAAAACAGTCATGCACAATGTTTGATTTAAAATAATCTTATGAAAAAAAAAATATAAAAATGTTTATGAAATGAATGCGAATCTGTTCAATTCAGATCTTATTCACTGTCATTAAGGCAAGTTTATTTATATAGCACATTTTATACAAAATGGTAATTCAAAGTACTATACATAATTTTTTTAAATAGTCATAAAAAAGACATTTTAAAAATGCATGCATAGTTATTACAAAAGATTTCATAAAATAGAAAACATTCTAAAAATGCATGCAACATAAGTATAAAAAATAGTCATAAAAAAGAAAACATTTTAAAAATGCATGCTTAATAATTACAAAAAAAGTCATTAAATAGAAAACATTCTAAAAATGCATGCAACATAAGTATAAAAATAGTCATAAAAAAGAAAACATTTAAAATGCATGCTTAGTAAGTATAAAAATAGTCATTAAATAGAAAACATTCTAAAAATGCATGAAACATAAGTATAAAAAATAGTCATAAAAAATAAAACATTTTAAAATGCATGCTTAGTAAGTATAAAAATAGTCTTTAAGAAGAAAACGTTTTAAAAATGCATGCAACATAAGTATAAAAAATAGTCATAAAATAGAAAACATTCTAAAAATGCATGAAACATAAGTATAAAAATAGTCATAAAAAAACACATTTGAAAATGCATGCTTAGTAAGTATAAAAAGTCTTTAAGAAAACATTTTAAAAATGCATGCATCATAAGTATAAAAATAGTCATAACGAGCATTTTAATATATATAATAAAGTATGCTTTTAATGCATTTTTTAAATGCAAAATATGATTATTACATAAGCAATAAAAAAATAACTGAAAACTGAAGAGATTGATCAAGTAATTAAATGAAATAAATTAATAAACTACATTTTAAGGCATGTATATCAGGCATCTGTCACTCTGACCTATGGATCCCGCATTACATCAGCTATTAACCTCTGTATCAGTGCAATGATACTTACAGTGGATACCTCACAGAATGAAGGTTACCATCTACACACGACCATTAAACATGTCAGAAATAAAAGCTGGCTTGGATCGATCAGAACACTCCTGAGAATGATGTCATGACAGGAAACAGGAAGTAGATCAAGAGTTGAAATCAAAATAAGTGATCAAACATAAGCATCATGTGACTTCCATCTCCTCTCTGACTCCACCTGTGTGAAGAGGAGTGGCAGACGCACTGAATTACCTGATTTGGATCCACAGGTGGGAGCGATCTGGCCGCTCGGACAGGTGCACATGTTGGGTCTGGAGCAGAAGCCGTCTCCGCAGGGGCTGCGACAAATAGCTGAGAACAGCAAAAACAATGACTGACGACATCTATTGATTGCTTGACCTTCACAGACATCAATAAACATGCAGGTACAGGTGATATTCTGAACGTTCTTACAGCTGAAACCAGTTTACATACACCTTGCAGAATCTGCGAAATGTATAAGTAAATAAGAGGAATCATACCAATTGCATGTTATTGTTTATTTAGTACTGACCTGAATAAGATATTTAACGTAAAAGATGTTCACATATAGTCCACAAGAGAAAATAATAGCTGAGTTTATAAAAATGACCCCGTTCAAAAGTTTACATCCCCCTGATTCTTAATACTGTGTTGTTATCTGAATGATCCACAGCTGTGTTTAGTGATAGTTGTTCATGAGTCCCTTGTTTGTCCTGAACAGTTAAACTGCCTGCTGTTCTTCAGAAAAACCCCTCAGCTCCCACAAATTCTGTGGTTTTGCAGCATTTTTGTGTATTTGAACCCTTTCCAACAATGACTGTATGATTTTAAGATCCATCTTTTCACACCGAGGACAACTGAGGGACTCGTATGCAACTATTACAATAGGTTCAAATGCTCGCTGATGCTCCAGAAGGAAAAACCGTGCATTAAGAGTAAATTGAACTCATTTTGTCTTCCGTGAAACATCTTCTGTACCTTCTGAAGGGCAGTACTAAATGAAAAAATATGATTTTCAGTCTTGCTTCTGTTTAATGCATCGTTTTTCCTTCAGGAGCATCAGGGAGCGTTTGAACTGTATATGCACACTAAATAGGTTCAAACGCTCGCTGATGCTCCAGAAGGAAAAACCGTAAAGATCAGGGTAAATTGAACTTATTTTGTCTTCCGTGAAACATCTTCTGTACCTTCTGAAGGGCAGTACTAAATGAAAAAATATGATTTTTAGTCTTGCTTCTGTTTAATGCATCGTTTTTCCTTCAGGAGCATCAGGGAGCGTTTGAACTGTATATGCACACTAACATGTTTAAATCCATCCCAGAAAATCAAAGTCTGCAGATTCAGGTCTGGTCCTGCTCCAGGTCTTTCCATGAGACAGTCTTGCAGTTCATCGAGGCATATGCCAGCTGTCTTATTCAGGAAATATCGGCTTAATCGGATTAATGCCATCATTACACGATGCACATATAACTGGAATGCGTCCAAACTCTGATTATTACCGGAATGTTCTTGTTAAGTGCGGTCAGCGAGAGGTCAGGAGGTCAGAGAGACTCTGGGCCATTGTGGCCGAGATCCATTAGCGCGCCTGACCTTCACATGTAAACAACACCAGCGCCTGAGAGTCACACAACACCAGCACAGCCTTCCTGAGCGCTGCCAATCTATTCATTTACAGGACGAGAGCGAAAAACAATCGTCCAGCGCCGAGCTCGCAGAACCCCGCCCTCCTCTGTAAACCGTGTTTCCTGTAAACTGCGTTTCTGATAGCTGGAGCAGAACACAACAAACAGGAAGCTGATGCGGACTTACGGACGATGCACTGGTTCCCTCCGGTCAAGGTCTTCCATCCGGGACAGCAGTACGCATGATGACGGGATCCACACACATTCGGCCTGCGGGAAGAGTTCGGCAAAACTTAACCGAGCAAGGGGTCAAATTCACATTTAAACTTTATGTGTGAAACTCTCCATACATAGAATAGCATTAACATGGGAAGAACATGGGAATAGAAAGGAACATACACTGTAAACAGAAATGTAGTTGTAAATAAAACAGATTACTTGAGTATGTTGTATAGGAAAATACCATTTCAGTCAGGTACTCCAAAATGTCACATCTAATTCAATGTGTTACCTATCTATTTATTTATCTATCTTACAGATTGATTGCATGGCTTTAAAACATTGAAACCTCACGCTTTTAAAATTTCACTCTTAAATTCTTCGTTTTTACAGCTTATTAAACTATGTTTTAAATATTTAAACCAGCTTTCTCAAGCCAACATCAAAGTCAAACTTTACTATCTAGTGCTCCAGGGACACAAATATGGCGCTTTTATCCACAGGGAATATGAAAAATATCAATCCGTATGAGGAGATAATCACCATATTCAAGGAGAACACCATACAGAGACATCATCATATTATAACTTTCAGATGAAACACAGTATAAATACCATGGTAATCATCCGCGCGCTGATCTAATACCACGGTACTTTCACAACACATTAAAAGCAGGGTTTGTTGTGGTAATTCTACAGTTGCTGTGATAATATAACAACTATAGTAATATAAACTACAACTATAGGGTAACCTATATTATACTACAATACACTATAGTTTACTGTAGTAAAAACTAAAGCATACTACATTAATTATTGCAGTTTATCAGTTCACTATAGTTAATACCACAGTAAGCCGTAGCATTCATTAACAAAGTGTTGTAAATATAATAATATATACAGTATAATACACTTTACTATAGTATGGTATAGTATTTAATATAAATCACTATAGTATTTTTTAATGTGGGGAGTACCGTGTGTTGGGAAGGTTACTTTGGAAATGTAATAAGTTACAGATTATTTAAAATGTAATGTAACATTATTAAAGTAATGTAACTGATTACATTTGATTACTTTTCTAAAGAATGTTTTTTGAACTGTTAATCATTTTTAAACATGTAAAGTAGGCAGGTTAATCTCACAGTAGAACTCAACACTGATTACTGTCAGAGAATCCTTCATCACCTGAATTAAGATTATAATGATTACATTTTAAAGCACAGTCACCACAAAATCAGACTTACTTTGAGATCCTTCTGAGGTTAAATACTGATTTAGCAGCCACCACAAAATCAGGTTAAATACTGATTTAAAACCATAACAAGATATAGTTTAGTAACTATAATACTGTTTTTGAAATCAAATCTTTCTATAGCTATGACAGAAAACACTGGCATCTAACAATACCTCGGAAAAACAGTTAATCTTACAAAATAAAGCATATACACAAACCTTATTGTGTTATGAATAAGCATGTCTCCTGAAACATTAGTGTCTCATATTTTACAGCATTCAATGCAATTTATGAAAGAAATCAAACAAATCTGTATGCACGTGAAAATATTCAGATGTAACCCTCTTTGTAATCATTAACATTTTCATAAGTAACACGTTTTTTCTACCAGTAACTGTAACAGATTGCAGTTACATTTATTTTGTATTTAAATGACGTAACTCTGTTACATGTAACTAGTTCCTCCACAACACTGGGTACATGGTATCAAATAACACCACGCTACATCACTGCATTGATGCAGCAGTGCTTCAGTAAGGGAAAGAAGTTGGGTTCCCCTTACTGAACACAGAATGAGCTGTTGCATGCTGATGGGTGTTTGCGTCCGCGGTCAGAGGAGGGGAGCGTGCGTCTGCATCTCAGCCCACCGGCGTCCAGCCTGAGACTGATGCAGAACAATGGCACACGGTGGGTGGAGAAACCCCAGCCGCACCCTCCTCTCTCTGGACCGGACTGAAGCTCTGGTGCCTTCTGTGAATCACAAGCATAATCATCTGTAAGGAATGCAGACTGAAGTCAACATGAAACTAAGGCCATTTACTTTCTCAAGACATGCTCTCGATCTCATCAGTGTGTTCTAAACAAATGTTTTTCTTCCTAATCCATCGTCTAAATGCAATCCCTCCAGCTGATGCTTGGTCACACTACACTTTTCATCCCACTGACCTCTATTTATACGCATTGCAAATGTAATACATTTCATGCACTGCAAAGTTCAAGTTTGGTGAACTCTGACCTGCGAACTCGTATCATGTGAAGATTCTTGTGAGACTAATAGAAGAAAAATACATCACAACCTCTTAGCTGAATTTAAAAATAAAAACCAGCTTAAAAGCTTTGCATCGTTACAGGTAAGTTGAGTAGACTGTGTATTTTTTAATTTTGCATTCACATGTGTGTCCCTGGAGCACAAAAGCAGTGTTAAGTCGCTGGGGTATATTTGTAGCAATAGCCAACAATACATTGTATGGGTCACAATTATACACTTTTCTTTTGCATTTGACACTTTTATCCAGAGAGACTTACATTGCATTAAAACTATACGTTTTGTTTTCCAATTCATTTATTCCCTGAGAATTGAACCCATAACAATGGCATTTATAGTGCTGCGTTCTACTGTTTGAGCGACAGAAATGTGTATTTCTATTTATTAGTATTTGTTATATGTTGAATTTTTGTTTTTTGGCACTGCCATCGCATATCAGAACCATTGCAGTTTCCAAATAAATTCCGCATGCTTAAGAGATGGTTATTATTGTTAATTAAAACTAAAAATATTTCTATTAAAAGTTTTTGTTCATCAAAATAACCCTGAAATAAAATAAAATAACTAAAAAAAAAAAAAACTAAATGAAAATTAGAAAATAAGTGAAACAAGTCAAAGCAACTGGAAATAAATAAAAACTAAATCTGAAATAAAAAATAAATGAAACCAAAAAAAATAAGAGTGAATAAAAAAAATTATAAAAATGACAAAAGTACATAAGAAACTTACTAAAAATCTAACTAATATAAAAATAAAAATTTGAATGATCTAAGTAAATGTTTGACATTATTAATAGAAACTATAATCATATAAAAATAATGCCGCTGCTTTATTAACCACCTTCACACAGGTACGTTTCACCATCCACTCAGTTCATGATGGTGAAAATAAAGTCTCGCCCTACACCAAATCTCTCGTTTCACTCGTAAACATGTCACATAAACTGGGTTTAAATGGCTTGCGAGCGGCGTTGGGTTTATGTCGTAACATCATTGTTCAGCAGTGTGTCTCTGGGTACCGTCGGCTGCAGGGTTCGAGGCCGACTGACAAAGTTCTGCTCATTCTTCTGTGTGTTTACTTTCTCTAAGGCTCGGCGCTATGGCTTAAACAGATGCTCCAATATACTGACCTACTTTTGAGGAATTCAGTCCTCTCTCTCACTGCACGTGACCCAATAACAGCATCCCATTCCTGTTCCTGTTCCCGGCCTCGTGCGGATTGCAGACGGATGCAGGGACGGGCGGGGGAGCGTGTGCCTGTGCGAAAGCGTCTTACTCTAACTTTCTCACACTGTTTATTTGCTTTGGCTCAGGAGCGACTGTGTCTCCTTTCATTTCCCGTGGTCTTGGACTCCAGGAATCGAGCGCTCCGACTCCCAGACGATCAGCGATACGGGAGGAGCATCTGAAATCTCACAGAATCAATCATTATTAATCACGTGTAGATTGCTTTGATATCACAGAGCGTCCAGGTTCATGTGCATCGGCAGACCTGAGATTTTCAACTGGGTTTTTGCCTCTGAAACTGCAGAAGTGACTCTGGTGATGTTGTCAGGTGTCGAGGCATTGATGGTTCCATGAGGAACCATTCATGGAACCTTTCCATTGCACAAAAGGTTCTTCAGAATATTAGAGCTCGTTACACTAAGAAAAAGTGGTTCTTTTAAGAACAATTTACTGAAAGGTTCTTTGGAGAACCAAAAATGGTTCTTCTATAGCATCGGTGCAAAAAGCCGCTTTTGGAACCTTTATTTTTTAATGTTTCCATTATCAAAATGTTGTTCTCGTCAACAAAAATGGTTCTTTTAGGAGCTGTTCACTGAAAGGTTCTTTGGGGAACCAAAAATGGTTTTTACAGTGTGGAACGTTTACATTGCACAAAACATTATTAAAATGTTGTTCTCACCAATAAAAATGGTTCTTCTAAAGCGTCACTGTGAAAAGCTATTGGAACCTTTATTTTTTAAAGTGAAGAACGTTTCCATTGCACAAAAGGTTCTTCAGAGTATTAGAGTTTGTTACACTAAGAAAAACTAGTTCTTTTAAGAACTGTTCACTGAAAGGTTCTTTGGAGAACCAAAAATGGTTCTTCTATGGCATCACTGCAAAAAGCAACTTTTGGAACCTTTATTTTTAAAAGTGAAGAACGTTTCCATTGCACAAAAGTTACAAAAAGGCTCTTTAGATTATTGAAATGTTCTTCACATTAAGAAAAACTGGATCTTTTAAGAACTGAGCACCGAAAGGTTCTTTGAGGAACCAAAAATGGTTCTTCTATGGCATTGCTGCAAAAGGTAGCTTTTGGAACCTTACTTTTTTTACAGTGTGGAACGTTTCCATTGCACAAAACATTATTAAAATGTTGTTCTCACCAATTAAAATGGTTCTTGTAGGAACTGTTCACTGAAAGGTTCTTTAGGCGTTCTAAGGCGTCACTGTGAAATCCAGCTATTGGAAACTTTATTTTTAAAAGTGGAGATTGTATCCATTGCACAAAAGGTTCTTCAGAATATTAGAGCTCGTTACACTGAGAAAAAGTGGTTCTTTTAAGAACAATTTACTGAAAGGTTCTTTGGAGAACCAAAAATGGTTCTTCTATGGCATCGCTGCAAAAAGCCGCTTTTGGAACCTTTATTTTTTAGAGTGTGGAATGTTTCCATTGCACAAAAGGTGCAAAAATGTTCTTTAGATTATTAAAATGTTGTTCTCACCAATAAAAATGGTTCTTTTAAGAACTGTTCACTGAAAGGTTCTTTAGGGAACCAAAAATGGTTCTTCTAAAGCGTCACTGTGAAAACCAGCTATTGGAACCTTTATTTTTAAAAGTGGAGAACATTACCATTGCACAAAAGGTGCAAAAGGTTCTTTAAATTAGTGAAGTGTTCTTCACACTAAGAAAAAGCGGTTCTTTGAGGAACCAAAAACGGTTGTTCTGTAACATTGCTGTGAAACCCTCTCTGGACCCTATATTTTAAGAGTGCAGCGAGTCATTAATCTCGAGTCGTCAAGTTTCAGGATTTCACAGTGTACATTTGTAAACACTGGGCTTTGTGCTTGTTTTCTGCCGTTCTCATGTGAATATGCAGTTGTGTTTCACATCATCCAGCTTTGCTTCATCTCCAGCTGGATCATGGATAGATGTTCTTCTGATATAAAGCAGCGTTCAAGGCTTCCAGCTCCTGAAGCGAACTGATTCACGCTCGGCTCGCCTCTCCACATAACACCTTCCCAAAACTCTTGGAATCATCTAGGTGCTCCTTGGCAAATAATAGACAAACGTTTATGTTCTTTCTGATTGTGGCATCACAAACACTGACCCGAGAGGAGCCTGCAGTTCTCTGGACGCAGCTTCAGGATCTTCTGTGACGGTCTGGATGATTTTAGGCTGCGCCTCTGGAGAAACCTTGGCAGGCCAGTCGCTCCTGGGGAGTTTCACCACCGTTCCAAGAGTTCTTCGTTTCAACATTACGGCTCTCGCTGTGGGTCTGTTCAGATCCAGGGTTTTGGAAATGTCTGCGTAACCTTTTCCTGACTGAGACTCAATATGAGCATGTCATTTTTATTCTCTCATAAAAACTCTCCTTTGATCGGGTGATTTGTGCTTGTTAAATCTTTGTGAGGGTCAATGGCACAGTCGCACATGACCGACTTTAATCAATCGAATTCATATTCCTTAAATTCTCTTAAACCAGCTGCTGGATTCAAATGAGCTCTTCGCTGAAGCCTGTATGTAGAGCATCTGCTGCATGAATCGTGATGTAGCCGTTTTCTGCATCATCCTTGTGAAAGACAGAAATAAAACAAAGGTCAGTTCAGAATCATTGACAGTGAGTGTGTTTATTAAAAAAAACGACAGTTTGAGGCGTTCACATGAGTGCTGTTGGGTGCTTTCAAGTCATGTTGGAAAGATTGCATTCATGATTCAATTGGAAAACAAATGGGGATTTTCTTTGAGCCTTGATTTTCCAAGTTGTTGTTGGCGGGTCACTGAGAAAACATGGCTGATGTGATGCATGGTGCATCTAGTTGGTGTATGATTTTTCATCTTTCTCGAACAAAAGTGATTTAAATGCATCTAATGCCATTGTGATTTCCTAGTTTGTAAATATGAACTTCCCAGGAAGATTTGAATGCACCTGATGTAAACACACTCATGAATGCATCATAAAGTCCCGTGTTGTGACCTCATTAATTCTCTGGCCCTCGTCACCAGTGTTGGGGAAAGTTACTTTTAAAAGTAATGCATTACAATATTGCATCACTCCCTAAAAAAGTAATAAACGTAATCCCCTAAAAACTAATTAATTATGATAGTTACTTTTTATGGAAAGTAATGTTACACGGTACTTGTTTTTTTGCCTATGCTGGGCTTGCTGAGCTTGTTTTTAATATAAAAACGTTCTATTTTTGGCAAATATAACAGCCCTTTCACACTAAAAGTGAAATGAATGAGCCTCAGGCTGAAGGAAATGTAAATTCATGTTTGTACAGTAGAGGGTGCAGCTCAAACAAACCTTTCAGCTGTGCCGCCGATCTGGATTGCATGATGAATAGGATGCAGGAGAAGAAAGTTCAAGTACTTTTTAGCAATAATATGGTTGAATTGGAACATCGAAGGTCAGCAGCAAAGACACTGTTTAATAAAATGGGATTGAATACATAAAGGATATTTGTGTTAACCTATTTATTTATTGCAGGTTTGCATTTCAGTTTCTATTCATTTTGAGGAATACTGAATCTGTTTTTGTGCAGTGAGATGAGTAAACACATGTTGATATTTAGTCTAGAACTACAGTAAGATCATGTTCACACACAACGCTCTGCACTGACTCCTGATTTCTGTCACCATGGCAACACCAGAGCTGTCACTCAATACATGGAAACAAAGTAACTGGAGTTACTTCCCTGAAAAAGTAACTCCGATATTTTCTCTCAAATTAAAAAGTAATGCCTTACTTTACTAGTTACTTGGGGAAAGTAATCTGATTACATTACTTGCGTTACTTGTAATGCGTTACCCCAACACTGCTCGTCACTGTGGATAATCAGGCGAATATCTGCAGACAGAGATGAGAATGTGATCTTTGATCGAATCGGCCGATCACGGGCTGGTTGTAAGAGTCGTCCATGATCCTCCGCCGCCGCTGCTGTTTGGATGTTTCAGCCCCCTGAGGTTCATTTCTCTCCTTTGACACAAAGGAGCAGCTTGCAGGAAAACACTGTCGACCTCGCTTCACATTTTTGACCATCTACGGTTTGGAAAACTCTTGTGTTTTGGGTCAAACGGGTCTTTCGGCCAAACCAGCACCCACACACACACACACACACACTCATGCACATGTAAACATGCATACATGCATTCACATGTGCGTCTACACACGCCGATGAGTGAGTTTCCCAAACAAACATGAAATCATACAAGATGGCTGGTGCTCAGGTGGAGCTCAACACTGACCTGAAGAAGAGACAAGGACATGCTGTCAAACCAATCAAAACTCAAATGTCTTAAAGGGGTCATGAACTGCCTGTTTTTTATTTTGTACTGTTCTCTGAGAATTTTTTTTAGAATAGGCTATTTTCTGTGCTGTTTTAACCCCCCTCATCAGAACGCTCTGTGTGAATAGGAGTGGAGGATTGTAGACTCGGAAGTAAACGGCCACTGCTGTGATTGGCTAATAGTTGTGTATGATTGACAGTCTACATTCCGAATAGATGCTTGCTGCTGTGATTTTAGGTCAAAAACGCATAAATAACTGAATACATATCAAACGATCTGTAAGAAAAGACAAAGCGTTGTGTTGCGACATTACTGTCGGATCCAATAAGGTCGCAATATAGTCTTTTAGTTTCAATCTTTCTGAAAATCCTGCATCGAATTGTGCCTTTTTTGTAAATGAATCTGTGGTAAAATGAAGTGAACAAAGGACTGAGTTCTTACTGACGAGGTCTGGAATTAAAAATTTTAAAAAGTGAATCCGCTCTTTCCTACAGGCAGCGATGTAGAATCGGTGGGCGGAGCTAAACAGGCAGCGATGTAGAATCGGTGGGCGGAGCTAAACAGGCAGCGATGTAGAATCGGTGGGCGGAGCTAAACAGGCAGCGATGTAGAAGCAGGTGTTGATCTTCTGCGGAGGCGGCACTTATCCACACTATTACATCATAGATAGGAACATTCCACAAGCTGTGGTTTTGGCAGATCGGCTTCAATATAAGCTGTTAGACTAACAACAAAGTTTGGGTTCTGAAACTTACAGGATGTTTTTACAGCACAATGACCTTTTACATGTCACAAAATCAAGGGAATTTTGGTTTCTCAGTTCATGAGATTTCATCTCAAACGGTCAAATCCAGTGATTCAGTTCATACTTGGTGCCTTTTAAATCTAATTCTGTTTCTTGGTGGGCTGATGTAAATCTGTACGAGTTTATTGGCAGTCACTGAGCCTCATTAGAGCGTCTGACATCAGCAGGTGATGAACTCACGCTCTGCATTCGATCACGGCTCTAGAACCGGAGCATCACTTGCATCTCTGATGTTGAGGTAATTCTCTCACTGACTCACACCGACTCGCCCATCGCAAGTTACCAAAGACAAATAATGACCCTCAGATGATCTCATCCGATCAGATCAGCGTGTGTGTGTGTGTGTGCATGAGCTCCATCAACAGCAGAAGGGCAGACTGACAGATGCAGAGTGCGACAGCCGGCTGATGTTCACAGCTGCACAGTCTTGTTTTCCTGCCGTCTGTAACGACCCTGATAAAAGCCCCTCAGTGGTGAAGATTAATGCACACACACACACACACTCACATGCACGCGCAGCATATTTCTCAGCGTGTGTCACTGTTGGCTCCGGATGCGGACGCGTCACATGATGCTGTCGGACTGACTCCCAGAATCCCAACAGCACAGATACCTGATGATTCAATCCCAACACACACTAGTGATGATCACACGCAAACCACTAACACCAAGAAACAAACACTGAAGACAAACTTAAAGTGCATGAAACAGTCTTTTCTTTCCTATTTTGACATGTATCCAAGTTAAACGGCTTCTTGAACAAGAAAAATGTAGGGCAGGACTTGTTGTCCGTCGGGAATTGATTGGATCGTTGTTGTTTGCTAATTGCTGTGATCTCATGTGAGTGACAGGTCACTGGAGGAATTACTGTCCCGCCCTCATGCACACGCCATCAGAGAAGAGAGAGATTCCTTCTTAGAGTTCATGTTTTTGATTAAAGATTACAAGGGCACGTGGATTAAAGGACTAGTTCATACAAAAATGAACACTTTCTGAAAATGCACTCACCCTCAGGCCATCTCAGATCAGGATGAGTTTGTTTCTTCATCAGGTTTGTAGAAATGTAGCATTGCATCAGTGTCTCAGCAATGGATGCTCTGCAGTGAATGGGTGCCGTCAGAATGAGAGTCCAAACAGCTGATAAAAACATCACAATAATCCACAAGTAATCCACAGCACTCCAGTCCATCAGTTAACATCTGGAGAAGACAAAAGCTGAAACAAATCCAGCATTAAGACGCTTTTAACTAAAAGTCCATATAATCCATAATAACTGTTCCTCCAGTGAAAAGGTGTTCTGGTGTGAATCAGGAGAGAAATCTGCACAGATCAAGCAGCGTTTACAAGCCAAAATTTGGACTCTCATTCTGACGGCACCCATTCACTGCAGAGCATACAATAGTCTGAAAGGAGCTTGCGTGACCGTTTGTTATTTGCAAACAAAGCAGCGTGTTCAGTCGTGTCTGTGTCTGAAGCTTGTGTTTCATATTTCATTAGACTGTTTTTCAGCAGATTCTGGATCTTTCATGAAGAGGCCAGTCGCTCACAGCCTCATAATCAAAAACATGAATTCCAGAAGCATTACTGGCCTCGGGCTGTGCATGCTGGGAATTAACGCCGCTTCTCAGCACTTTAAGCACTGAAATCATGTGATTTTGGCGTTACGACACAATTCAAGATGCTTGAGAAACATGAATTACAGGAATCAGCCTGGAGTTTGTTCTAAACGACCCGTTTAACGTCTTCAGATGACTGAACATCAGCTGAGAGCCGCTGTGAAACATTCACTGGAAGCAGTTCATCCCTGTTCGTGTTTGTGTTACTATAGTCAGCGTGGGTTAAACCATATGACGAGAGACTTCACTAGGACATCTGACTGCGAAAACACTCAGAACACCCTAGCAACCACACAGCAGAACCCCGGCAACCAGCCACAACAATCCAGCGCAGTGATATTTGACAGTCGCCGCGTCTCTGTTCTTCCGTCCTGAGGAATTCTGGAAAGCCCCTCGGCCTCGTTCTGAGCGCAGACGACAGAGATTCACGTGAGATGAGTGTGAGCCGCTGTCTGACGTCAGCTCCTCCACCCAAACTCACACTCACTCAGCACACATCTTCTGTCTGACTCCAGAAGGTTCCCTGGCAGATTTTACAGCGGTTATGAGCTGATGAAATCCGAAGCGTCTCTCTGCATGTTTCACGTTTTTTCTGACTTCAGATCTGTGCCAGCTTTGTTCTCCTCAAACTTCAGTCTGCGCTTAGACGAGAGCGCCACCTTCTGACTGCAAGTGTTTCAACAGGTTTAACCAAGTTTTAAAAAAGTACACTTCCATAATGTACTTAAAGGCACACAATATGTAATTTTCGTCGCTGGAGGGCGCGTATTCAAATTAAACAAACAAACAAAGGCGTAGTTAGATGACGCGTGACTGAGTGTGGAATCATGGGAGTTGTGGTTTTCATCCGCACAGCCGATGCAATCCTGTGCCTTTAAAGTGCTCTATTATCGCGCACTAATTTTGTACTTAATACACTAAAAATTATTCTTTAGTACCTCTTAAGATCAACTAAGTGTACTCATTTTTACTAAGTGTAAAGCACATTTTAGTTCATATTCATGGTGTCCCAAAATAGCACAGTTGAGTACACTTAGATGATCTTAAGAGGTACTAAAGAATCATTTTTAGTGTATTAAGTACAAAATTAGTGCATGAAAATAGAGCACTTTAAGTACATTATGGAAGTGTACTTTTTTTCAACCTGGGTTGAGATCAAAACAAACCCCATTTATTTTCTCAAAAAACACTCGTGCTCTCATCAGTGATGTTATTCTAAAGAAATAGATGTTTGTCGTTATAATCTTTCATCTAAATGTACCAACTTGCTCGACATCATCTAGTTCAGCAGTTCTGACTCCATAGCTTCTCATGCAGACTTAACACTAAAATACATTTGTTTATTGAAATAAAGCAGAATTAAAATATAAAAAGTAGATTCAAAAGTAGACAAAAATTGGAAATGTTGCCTTGGAAATAAGCTTAAAACTGATTGATGAAAGCACTAAAATTACTAAGTGGATATAAAAAACTAAAACTGAAACCGAATTAAAAATAAATGAAATATGATTAGTAATATTTAATAATAAAAATGACAAAAGCATATAAAAATTGACCAAAAATAAACTAAAGTTAACATGAAAACATAAAGCTAATCAAAATATTAATAAAAACTATAATAGTATCTAAATAAATAATACTAATAAAAAAAACTGCTTTAATGACAAAACTGCCTTTATAGGTTGAAAATAATTGTGTAAAATAATTACATTCTTTAATTCGACAGGTTTTGAAAAAGTGAATGTTTCACACAGTTCACACGGGATTTTTCCAGTGGTTTGTGATTACAGGACAAGGCTTATTTTCTAAACTATTTATTACTCAGAAACAGCAGTTTCTCCCCACTCACAATATATCACTCATATATATCCATAAGACCACGAGAACCCTGGTTCTTAATAAAAATGACAACTGTTGAGGGAACTAATTCAAATAAAAAATCAGCTTACATCTTCATTTTTAGCCGTTTCGGCTTATTTTAAAGCTTTCGTCATATTCAGTATTTATCATTACTGTAAAAGCATTAATATCAAATATCGCTAGATTTGGAAAGTGTTACCGCCGGGAAATACAGGAGGAGATGCTGTGGGCCTTCGGTTTCCTCCGCTTCAGCACGTGATTCTGATATGAAGCATCAACTCCTGATGGATAAAATCATTCGTTTCTCACTGAAATATCACACTACAGAAGTTAAACACCCAGAATGACTCATAAACACACTCACTGTCACACGAGTCAAACACACGGTCCAGTAGATAGTTAACTGAAAACAGTTTAATTGTATTAACGATCAGCCAGAGAACAGTTACTGCATGACTTCACCATCACAGCTGCTGGAAAACACATGTGCTAGTTTCACATTAGTTACCAAAGCATGTTCACGTTTATGTACATAGTGCAAAAGACACGCTGATGAAGATCACTCCAAACACAGAGAGAGAGAGAGAGAAAGAGAGACACGGATCCGCTAGCACCGCACCGAACGCTGCTACAGAAGCTTATTGCACCGAGATCCTGCTGCTCCATTCATATGGAGTACCGGATCCATTAGCCATAAACACAGACAATTAGTGAACATCATCGTTATAACATCACAAATCCTTCATGTGGAGATGAACGTGGCTTCACCTCTCAAGCGCTCCACTACAGACGGAGGAGGAAGAGCAGAGTAAATCAGAGTAAACTAACGCACACAGACAGGAGCAATTTACACAGATCCGTCAGAACCAGGAGAAACGAGCCCAACTGAAGACACACGTGGAATAAAACACACTCCGGATCAGTTCCCGAGTTCAAGCGCCATAAACAGAGACAACCGGAGAGTATTAGAAACATTTAAACACAGGATTGGTTCATTTGTTCAAGACGTCTGCTGCTTGTTTGTTAATGCTTCGCGTTCGCTTTTCCCGGTTAAACGAAACGCACGTTCAGATGAGAGCCACGGACAAAACTTCATCGATTTTAAGAAATAATTCACCTAAACGCTCAATCATTTACTCACTTTAAACACGTGTGACTTTATTTCTTCAGTGCAACACGGACGAGATGTTCAGAAGACTGTTCAGCTGCTCGTTTTTAAGGGAGAAGCACAAAAACACTGTAAAGCATCATGATAGCGATTCATTTGATTCAGTGATTCAGTACAGCTCTCAAATATCATACTTTAGAGGAATAGTTGACCCAAAAATGATCATTCTGTCATTATTTAGTTCTTTCTTTCTTACTTTTAGTTCTTACCGACTTACTTTCTTTAGTGGAGCACAAAAGACGATATTTTAATTTATTTGTCTATATACCAGAAGTCAATGGGGTCCAAAGTTGGTTCTTTAAAATATCTTTAGTAAATGGTGATTTGATGGTGCTTTAAGTCCGGTTACACGACCAAACCGGTGGTGTGTTTGCTGTTGTTTACTTTGTGAATGAGTGATTTCAGATTCAGTTGTTCACCCTAATCCAAACTAAGCATGCAGGCGTCTGTTATGATGCTTTACAGTGCTTCTGTGTGATTTCTGAAGGCGTGATATGAGCGTGAGTTATTCACAGAGAGCGTGTGAGCGGTCGGTCTGTCCGTTATCGGTTCCTGAGTCGTGTTTGTGTTACGTGTGACCTCTCATCCCGTGTGTGAACTCGCCGCCGGTTCGGTGAGATCAGAGGAGTCGAGCTCCTCCTCGTCGCTGCGCCGCTCTTCCTCATCTTCATCCTCCTCGTCCTCGGTGCTGCTCTGTCTGCGCAGCTGCATGTTCTCCAGGGTTTTGGAGACCCAGGACTCGATCCTGGAGCTGAGTGGCGGCACCTGCACAGAGATGGGCTCGGGGGTGTAGTCCTCCTCCTCTTCCTCCTCCTCCTCCTCCTCCTCCAGCATGCCGGGCACCAGTGTGCTGGTGGTGCTGGTGATGGAGGAGTTGAGCCGGTCTCAAGATCTTGATTAGGTTAAAACCGAAACCAAGCCATTCACACAGAACGCATATTCAGCGCATTTTTTAGGCGGACAAATACGACTGCTGCTCTCACGTCTCACACAAGAGATGCATAGAAAGCCATGCAACGTTAAAACAGTTTAAACTTTTAGAAAACACGTCATGAATTTGTGGAGGTTTATTGCTTTTCACTGCATCTCGTATGTTTTTAAATGCAGTCTGTGTGATCGGCGCTTCAGCTCTTTGGATTAAGCAATGCATAAATACATGATGCTGTTTTGTTCAATTGTTTATGCAATTTTTACGAAATTATATTTGATTTATATGAGTTAATTTAGACGTAATGCACGTTTTTTTACTTAGAGTTACTTCCTTGCGTTGACAATTTAAATGC